AAAGATGGATAGTGGTTAGCAGTGGAATCCAGGTTGATGCGCGTTTTGTCCTATTTGTGACTGGTCAGCTGGATAACACGATGGCGTTTTACGCGAAAGGTACTCAGTGAAAGTCACAGATTGAACATCAACTATGAAATGCAGGTACATCCAGCTGACGAGTCCTAAATAGGATGAAACGCGCATCAAATTGATTCCACTGCTAGCAACTATCCATCTTTGCTTACAGTACTTGTGAATTAAGGCTATATCGAGGCAATACGCGCAGGATGCACATATGCCAATTAGAGACTGATCAGTTGCAGTCGTAAACATCAATGGATAGGTTCAAACAAACAATACTAAGTGAATGTGATGAATAGTATACTTCTTGAGATCATTATATATTCATTAATCTATAGTTTGAGAATTTCTTAACACTGACCGAAACGTAAAATATGCTCTATTCACTTGGTGTTGTATACTTGTATCTTCCCATTGTTATTTAGGACTGCAAATGATTAGTCTCGTATTGGCATATGTACATCCTGTGCGGACTGAGTCGATATTGCCTGAAGTCATAAGCTTTATAAGCAAAGATGGATATTGGCTAGCAGTGAAATCCAGGACGCGCCACTCCGTCCTATTTGGAACTCGTCAGCTGGATGTACCTGCATCTCAGAGTTAGTTGACGTTCACTCTGGGACTCCAATCCAGTACCATTCGCTTCAAACGTCATCGCTTTATCCAATCAGCTACTGAGTCCTAATAGCTCTTTCTGAAATTTTTTTTCAGCGGATTGTTTTGAATAATTATGAGAAAATGAATGTAAAACAATAAGTAACTGTATTCTGATTATGTAATCTCACTGATAGTGTCATTCAGTATTATCTTAATGTTTAGAATTGGCCTATTCAATATAACATTTTAAGTTGTTGCTTAATTGACAATATGAGTTGAAAGAAAACTTCTGATGACGTAATCAAAAAGTGACATTATTTCTTGAGGTTAATAACTGTTGATCTGAAACTCATTTAGTAGATATGAGGTATCTCCTTGAGGTCTGCTCGATGACCACAACCAGTAGTATAGGAATGTGATAACAGTTAGGTGTTTCTCTTAGATCACTAGAGTTTTCATTCATACTGTCTTTTCACAATGAAAAATAGGAGGTTAGAAGAGACGATTTTTGTAAATTGAACACTTTACCCCATAGATTCTTGTAGCTGGCTGTAAGGCCTATAAAGTATGTAGCTAACTCGCTTAAATCTACTCACTAATAGGACATGTATGACAAGCCTTAAAGGGTTAAATCTTGGATTCAATTATTACATTCCTAAGCCGAAAAGATCACATTTTTCTCAGATCTCTTTCCAGCAATTTGAGAAAGAAGTACTCTTCTATAGTGTAAGTAGAGGAGAAGTGACAACTATCCTTATACTTCTATCACAACTCTAGCCTACCAGTTGAAACCACTTCATGTTAAGAATTACTATCAAGTGAGATTTATCCCTTGCCTAATTGTTATCTATTTCAATATCATATTTTTAGTAGCTATAAACGTAACAATTTATAAATAGAATTGTTTACACCCCTCTGTATTTGTGATTGATTGATTGATTGATCATGGGTACTGTTGAACAGGTTTCATTGACAAGTAATTCAGTTACTATGTCGTTTTCAATAGATTGGATCAGTATATATATTCATCAATCTTTATATGATGATGGTCAAACTATCTTTAACAATATATTACAATGTTTCAGTTATACATCAACCAAAGAATTACATGTATATCTAAATCGTTATGAACCTATTAAGAACACCTATCAATCAAAGTGTAATTGTTAAATCCTTAAATTTTTCATTATGAATGTGTTAGAAGAAAAGTAGATGGATATAAGAGAGAATAAGAATTAGGAGGGGTTTTGTGGAGATTTCAGTATTTTCATAGTTGAAGTCATGAGTCAATTGAAGCTAGACCACCAAACTAAACCTGGAAGTACTGGATGGTCGTTTCATCCTATTATGGGACTCCTCAGTGGCAGTGCGCATCCATGATCCCGCCTCGCGAGATTCGAACCTAGGACCTAACAGTCTCGCACCAGAGCACTTAACCGATAGACCACTGAGCCGGCTGTCATCCAACGGTGTTAATGTCTAACTTCAAACAATCCATGGAGTCTGAGCAATCGTTCACCAATTGTCTTCAGTGAGTTGTCATCTTAACAACAGACATGGTTGAACTCCATTGGTTATTGCTTCCCACTAGAACTCCAAGAAATATCTCTTGAAGTCAGTCACTAGTGAGCATAAGAAAGAAAAAAAAGATTAGGAGAGATTAAGATCATGATAGAAGACAATCTAAACAAAATTAAATCAGATTTAAATATCTAGTTAAAAGTATGAATTGATTCAATGAAGAATGGAATAGTATTGGAAGATGTGACAACTGAATACAATAGGGATAATTGTCAATATCAGGAGGAGTTTTGTAGATATTATAGTAATTTAAATAGTTGAAATCATGAATCAATTGAAGCTAGATCACCATGGAAAACCTGGAAACACTGGACGGCCGTTTCGTCCTATTTTGGGACTCCTCAGCAGTGCGTATCCACGACTCATGATCTCAAATATTGAAATTACTATGACATCCAGAAAACCCCTTCTGATATTATTCAACATATGCTAACTAGTGACTGACTTCAAGAGTTATTTCTTGGAGTTGTAGTGAGAAGCAGTGACCAATGGTGTTCAACCAGGTTTGTTGTGAGATAGTAACTCACTGAAGACAATGGTGGATGTGTCACTCGATTTTGTGGATTAGTCGAACTTAGACATTAATACCGTTGTATGACGGCCGGCTCAGTTGTCTAGAGGTTAAGCATTCGCATGTGAGACCGATCGGTCCTGAGTTCGAACCTCGCGAGGAGGGATCCTGGATGCTCACTTCCACTGAGGAGTCCCACAATAGGACGGTCATCCAGTGCTTCAAGGTTTTCCATAGTGTTCTAGCTTCAATTAAATCATGATTTCAACTATGAAAATACTGAATTCTCCACAAAATCCCCTTTGATCTATTGAAATAATTATGAAACTGATAAATCAATCGATAAAAGACAAATCACATCAACAATGATAATGATTTGAAGGAGTAAGTATTTACAGTATAATAAAACTGATTTCAATGTGTTAATTACGGACAATATTCAACAATGATAATTATTAACAAATGGGAAGAGATTGTCTTTAACCACTGACATGAATAGAGTTATTCTTGAATAGAATAATTTGATATGTGAAATGAATGAAACTTTTCTGTTCACGATTTGAGAATCTTTAATATACTTTATATCTTTCAGATATGTTATTGATATATGTCTTGTAGGTTGAACGTTATATTCAGATCTTAAGCTTTTCGGATAACCCCAGGACTAGCACTACTCAGCAACTTGAACATCAGTAAGAAGACACGAGTATCAGAGAAACACTTTACTGCAAGGTTCATTTTAGTATAGAAAATAGTAGGTATTTATAGATGTTTGCATAAGTTAAATCAACATCCTAATTCAGCCAATCCAATTAACGATATATATTGCTACTGACCAATGATAGCGTGCCACGTTGGAACTCCAGAATGTTCTGTCGTACTCTAATTGGTTGGGGCTCTTTTTGAGACTCTGGAGGCTCTGTTGAAGTTCTCTGGAAGCAGACTTAACAGTTATCTAATTAAGGTTGTTTATCAAGTACATGACTTTTATTTATACTCTTTTTATATGACAATTACTCAAACAGATGTAGATGAAGTTCGAATTCATTCTGTGTATAAATGTCTAGAAGTTCATTGTATTGAACACTGAATGATTATTATTGTTATACTGTCATTGTTTTTATTTTAGATGAAATCATTAATGTATATTAGAGATAGATTTTCAATTCATAATGAAACATACATTCAGTTTACAGAATGCAGTCCACTGATATCAATCAACTAAACTATTAAATCATAATGATTATTCAGATAATGTCGTTGTTAATATTTGAAGTGATTTGATTTGTGTGAGGGCTGTGATACTGCCCACGTGCCCAGACTGAAGCAGGTGGTTTTCTTAGGGGGCCACACCTGGAGCCTTTGACCTGAAGATCCAGTCCACAAGGCAGTGGAGAATCGTGAGGAGATGCAGTCCCATGGTAGCCGATGATCAATGATTGATTCATACGCCATTTGTTCCCACAGGATCCTGGAATCAGCCCATGTGCACCATTGGTTTGGAATCAGGGTTTTTTCCAACTCCCCTAGGTGAACTTTCAGTGTCCACCAACCCGGTTAAAGCGCTGGACATTTGCTTTTCGTCTTCTCAATTTCGTAAACAACACCGGTGCCACGAGAAGGCAGTGAGTAGGACACAAATCAAATGAGATTTGTGAGGCGCATATTTATCTGGTGTTTCCTTGTACCAATATTTATGTGTTTAAATAAATAATTAAATTTTGTTAAGTTACATTTTATCAATATGAGTTGGAATATGTGTTCATCTATTTGGATTACCTTAATCTAATCATCATTATATCACAATTTTATGTAGAATAGATGTGTTTGTGTGTGTATGTGTCAATGAGTAGTAGTGGGATTCAGGATGTATATTTCAATCTACATGGAACAAGTGGTTTGTATTTCCATGTTACATTTCAAGGTTGATATTCATTTCGATATTTCAAACTTATTATGTTTCATTTGAATGCAATCATCATGTTATCTAGTTGATAAGTCGCAAACATCAACAATTGTACTTCCATAAATCCTATTACTAACTATATTCTATCTGTTCTATATGTGAAAGCACAGTGTACTTACTTACATATGTAATCATTAAAACAATGTCATTAAAAGGAGTTTTCTATAATGATTTACATCAAATATAGTAATATGACTGTACTAAGGTTTATTCATCGATATTTTTAGTATTAGAATAATCATATAAGTGACAAAGTGTTCCATTATTAATAGCCAATCATCA